CTTTGGCTGACCTCTGAAGATGAGAGAGTGAAATTCCCCAATATTATCGTACTCCAAGAGAACAATCCTTTCTGCTAGACTCACATTGGGTATTGAAAGCCTTTAACTACCCAGCATTTCTTTTAATCAGTTATACTGCTTTTTGGGCTCATTTCACAAAGCCATCTGGCTTTGCAGACGTTAACACAAGGTCTATGAAAACCTCACGTTTCAATGTGGCCCCACGATGGGGAGCAATCCACTTCAAAGGGTGTTCAGCTCCCAGGATTCTGGTGCTGAAATAGCTCGCTCAGATTTTTCATTGTTCTGGCCTCCAAGGAGTCTGGCCATCTAGGAGATAAAAGTATTCTTCTGAAAGCACCATGTGAAAGAAAATATTTGTTCAGTCGTGGTGTCCCTACAAATGTGATCTTATGCTCCACGGCTGGACACTTGAGAAGATGAAAATGAAGGGGCCCTAACAGATACAGTGGAGACCTGGTCAGATAAATTGGAGGCTGGGGAACGTGCCGCCCCAAATTGGAGAATACTGAGGTGCCCTCCTCCTTCCTGTGAATATCCTACTCATTCTTACAAAATGTTTCACACATCAGGATGGCATTAAATAAAAATGTTTGACTTTTCTTTTTCCACTACTGAATTCAACTGCAATTATATTTAAAATATCTTTACTTTCTATCACTTTGACAGGCTCACTTTTGAAGTATTCTATTCATACATTTCAATAGTGCTATCCCTTTCTAAGAGATAGTAACCTGGCCTTTAACAATGCATACAAGAAAGGACTGACGGTATTTTTTTTTTTCTTTTGCAAGCAGTGACTTCATTCATTAGAATTTGAATTTGTCATTTTTAGCAGAAATGACAGCAGAAAACTGAGAGGAAATTGACATTTAAACATTTAGAGGTATAAAAATATTGTGGGGATTAATAACCAGGGGCCAAATTTAATGTGCCGTTTTAAAATGTAGTCCCTTTGACACGGCTTAACCTGGAAGTTAAATGCAGCTGACAATCCTCACCACCAGCTCACAATAGGTTTCCTCAGAGAAAAAGGCTGCCATTCCTCTTTAAGGCTCAGAGAATAAGGGTCACTGACTACTGACCTCATGGCTTCATTCCAATAAATAGAGCGGTCTCAACTCATTTCTTAATGGTGAGACGATCTGATGGCAGGAAAGACAAGCACTCAGGTCACAATTACAACTGATTTACAATTTCTACAGTGAGCTCAGGGACAGGGTGTGTCCTTACTCCAAAAACTACATCTTCTCTGGGTATGTTACACTTTTCCACTGACAGAGCCATTTAAAATGTAAGCAATATGGAAGTCTCATACTGGCATTGAAACTGGCTGTATCGATGTCTTCCAAATAAGAGGCTTACCATATTCTAGCAGTGGACTACTAAGGCAAAATAAAGATGGGAGGCTGGTGGCATTTCACTTTGAGAAAATATTACAAAGGTACTATTTAATAAGGGTAACCATTTTAACAAGAACAAGATAATCAGAACTATGTTAAATGAAGTTACATTTTTTTTCCTGGACACTTGTAGGCCAACTTTACAAGACTTAGATTGATCGTTAATGTGTGCCAAGTATTTATTTTGAATCGGTTTTAATTTTTACCTGCGATATTTTTAATTTTTTAAAAGTACAAAGTCACATAGGTTGTTTTATTTGGGTTTGCTGTAGATTAAGACGGCCCACGAACGAAGGTGGGCTCCAGTTTACCTCATCTCATTAGGTCCAGGAATGATATCCCCGAAGACTGCTCTGAACATAAGACCTGACATATTTTTGGAGGTATATCATTGTTTTCTGATCAGCAGGAACACTCACTTGCTTAGTATTTTTAGACTTTGGGGCTCCGACATAGCCTTATCTGATTCATTTAAATCAACATACATGATTTTATTTTTTACCCAAAGTTGTAATTTTAGGGTATTCCCCCCTTCCTCATTCCTTAAGTCCTATGAACATTAATTTTATTATTCTAGTACTTCCCTATTTATTACTCCATGCCCTCTAATCATAAGTGGTATTTTAGACGCTTCGGTCCACTACAGCAACTAAGGGTTTTTCTAGCTTCAGGAATAATATTAACTCCACAGCCACAGCCTTGCCTGTGGACTCCCATGGTCACTCCAACCCCTAGTTGCTGGTGCTTGTTTATGTTTTATTTGTTTTGGAAAAATAGAGAAGTTCTCTAGCCTAATTTAAACAATTCTGTCTTCCAGAATCTCCTGGAATTGGGCAGCCTTGGAACAAATTAAAGGCTTAAATAATTGACATTATAAAAGAAATACTCCTTTATTATTGTCAATCTTATGACACCTGTTACTTGTTGTTTTTTACTGTGGTTTTAAATGTCTGGGATTCTACCTATATTTTAAAACAAGTTTAACAATGGGGAATTTACACAGATACACATATATAATTATGTTCAAAATACACTTAATTATATCTTTTTATGTTTATCAACTATCAGTTTTGATGATGACTCAAACTTGAGTGCAGGAAACACAAGTGGAGTTGATCAAAATACAGCTTATTTGGAAATACTGGAAACACAATATGTCTTTTCTTTGGCCCAGTTTGAATCCTTTGTCACCTCTGCATAGATCACGATTGCCTTACAGTTACCATGTCCTCTTTGCTGCTTACATTTTCCCTACTGGCCAGAAGTTCCTTCAGTTTGGTTCATCTACCCTTTATAGCTCAACCTCCATACACTGCTGAAAGTATCCTTGCTCATAAGCAAAAAACTGTTCCAAAGCCAACAAAATTCTGTTCATCTCGATCATGGTATCAGTTACATTCCAAAGAATGTCCTGATGCCTTTTAGTGGAGGATAATGTTAGAGACCAAAATCAGGGGACAAGAAGTACCTACGAGATGGTTTCATACGAGTACTAGAGGGAAGCCTGGAGGCAACTGTTCACTTTTTTTTTTTTTTTTTTTAGAACAAAGCACAAAAAACTATTTGGTTTTGATTTAGTAACGATGATAAGTTCATACAGAAGACTTCAATTTAACTCTAAGTTTACTGTCATTTTTGGCTCCCCTTTTCTAAATTAACATCTTTAATATTTATAGACATGCAAAAATGTGCCATACCAATCTATTTGAATTATACTACCATTGAAATTAGTAGAAACCTCAATTTTTAAAACAATTTTATTTTATCCAAGTATATCATTCAGTAATAATTCTAATACTGCAATAATTTTACCATTTCATTTTTTGGCTATAGAACAATTTTTTTTTTTTTACTTAAACAAACATAGGTAGAACCTACATGGAATGTCCCTCACTTCCATATGTAAAATACAGACTTCACACTTATTTGCATATGTGTTCATCTATAAACCAATATTATCATCATTTTTAATCCCAGGCAGTTTTAGTGTTTAGCTCCAATATTTCAAATGCCTTTAGAAAAACACAAAGGTTATGATTTTAACACTGTATCAGCTGAATTTCGAAAAAGGAATTACAAATGTCAGTAAATACAATTCAGTTAATATCATACTAATACAGCATAAATTAAAAGTTAAGAATTGTCAAAAACATATCAAATCCTAGACAACTTTACCCCAAATTTCAAGTGTGGCAATTTCCATAGTCCATATAATATTCAACACTAAGCTTAAAAAGAGTTAAATCATAAAAGGCCCCAAAGTACATGGTTTATTACACACTTCAGTTACAGTTCCTTGGTCATTTCATATTTACAAATCTCTCAACCAGTCCAGATATGGGTATACTTCATAATTTCATACATAACCAGAAATACAAATTATTCATAAAGTTACAGTCATTGAACACTTTAACCACTTAAGCTTTAATGCGATAACCTAATTCTGGGATAGATTAAAATGTCATGCCTGTATCCCCACATTTGCATCTTGGAGTAATCGTACAATTATCACAGAGATAAAATAACATTACATTTAAATAATTTAAACTGACATAAAAAATAACCCTTAGCTTATCAGGAAATATTTTTCCAATTAGTGGCATCAAGAGATCCCTATACTGAGAAACATTTAATTTTTGGTTTTATTTACTGTGTAGTATTATATTGCCTTTCTTATTAAAAACATGTAAGATAAAACCCCTCCAATTTTAAATTTTAGAATTTAAATGCTCAAAAACAGTTATGAAAAGTGTGAAAAGAAGGCTAAGTGAAGAAGAACTTACCAGAAATTAAAAGTCACTAGAAAGCCACTGTATTCAAAACAGAATGGTGTGGGCACAGAAACAGACAGATAGGGATCAGAACAGAGAGTCCAGAAATAGTAACAGATCCAATTATATATGGCATCTTCACATGTGACAAGGGGAATAATTCAATCCCATGAAAAATAAAAGTTCTTGTATAATAGGACTTAACTGGTTATCCATCTAGGAAAAAAAAAAAAAAGAATCCTACCTCACAGTCATGTACAAAATTTAAAACTGGAGTAAGATTTGAATGCTTTTAAAAAATAAGAAAATTTAAGAGAATACTTTTATGAACTTGGAGCAGACAACATAGCAAAACATAACTCAGAAGCAATAAAGAAAAAGACATATTTGATTAAATAATAATTAACAATTTTCATTTGGCAAAAGGCATTATAAACAGATAAAAACTGTAATGATACATTTGCACACACATACAAAGGATTAATATTTCTAAAACACAAGAGCTCCTAGAAATTGAGAAAGAACAACACTACCAAATGGAGAAATGGCCAGTGAAAATGAACACGAAATGAAGAGCATTCAAATGGACAATCAACATATGAAAATTATGTTTAACATCGGTGACAGTGAAGGAAATGCAAGTTAATGATCAGATAAAATAAGATCTGCAAGAATTAAAAAGGGCAGTGACATCCGTGCTGGTGAGAATGTTAGGTGATGGGCGCTCTTAATGTATGAAGGTGATTTGCTACTCCTTTGGGTAAAGCAATCTAGCAATATCTAATAAAATTAAAAACACACATACCGTTTGACCAAGCAATTCCACTTCTGGGAATCTATCCTATGAGGGAAAAAAAAGGACCAGTACGTAAGGATATAGGTACAAAGACATTTATTGCAGCAATGTTTGTTGAGGGGGGCCGGGGGGGGGGAGGAGAAGGGAGGTACCGAAAACAACATGAATGTCCACTAACAGGGAAATGGTTAAATGAAATATGGTGTATATAATGTAAAATATTACAGAATTATTAAGATGAATGGGCTAGATCTGTATCTACTGACTTGGAAGATTGATAAGCTGAGACAAATTGAAAAGTGGGTGCTTAATGTTCATGTTAAGACAAGTAATAGCAACAACTGCAACAAATCAATGTGAGTGAAGCACCTGTATGCACAGGCTATGAAGAATGGGATAATACGGACAGGCTAACAACAGCTACCAAAGGGAAGGTTGTGAATGGAGATGGGGATTAGAAGGGGTTGGGACCATTTACTTTCTGTGTGTGTATCTTTGTGCTGTTCCACTAGTGACTATAAGCATATTAATCTCAAAATTTTTAAAACCATATTTTTAAAAAGGTATTAGCTTTTATTAGCAAAAGTAGTAGTATTTCCAGACATTCATCTTTAGTAAAATAGTAGCAAATGAACAAATATCCCTTCTTCACTTATACCAGTCTCACCATAATGTTCATCAGTGGTGACTTGCCTAGTGTCTACTCCATCTCTCATTCCCATTTGTGTATCAGCCATGCAGTTTGGGTGGGAATGACTATACCCCTTTTCCAGGGACTTCTGAATGGTCAAAGCCACTATTCTCCACCAGAAATACAATTCAGAACAGCTTACATAATTTAAAATTTTATGATAGTCACATTAAAAATTTTGTTTAAAGAAGCAGGTGAATGTAATTTTAATAGTATATTTAATCTAACCCAAGATATCCAAAAATACTACCATTTCAACATGTATTTAACGGAAGAATTATTAATGAGATAGTTCATTCTTTTTTTGCATCTCAATTTGGACTAGCCACACTGTAAAAGCTCAATAGCCACATGTGGACAGTGGCCACTGCACTAGAGCGCACAGGTCTAAGCTAGTGATAGTTATGCTACAAACATTACCATGTCCATGAGTGGACACATAATTTAAATGGTTCAAGAACAGAGAAACCCACAATGGTAGAAGAAGAACAAGAAAAAAAATGAACCCTGGCAGACACCGAGGGACACACTGGAAAGGAAGCCAGTGGTAGGATGCAGAAGAACCTGGGTCCTCTGTCAACACTGAACCTCTGGATCAATCTCTGCATGAAGCCTGAATTTTCTAGTCATATGAGCTAGTAAATTTTCTTTTTTTTCCCAGTCATTTTGCATTAGGTTTTCTATTACTGGGAATAAGAAGTAGACTAATTAGAAAACTCATCTATGGATAAAGCCATATCCAAAGAGAATCATTTTCTCCTTAAGTGAATTAACTCGAATGTTTAAAATGTCTACCAATTATTTATAGTCAAGCTTTTCCTTTTGTGAAACTAGCTTTCTTTGATAGTATTTTTAGAAGTCTTCTGAAAACACCCCTGAGGAAGAGTCCCACAGCCTAATTCTTTATTGTCCAGGGTAACTGTCCCCACAGTCACCATGCAAGAGGGTATTTCTCCTCTGGCCATTGAACCTCACTGGGTCACACTCTTCCTCATCCAATCCCCCCTACACATAGCCTGAGCTCTGCATTGCAGTTCTTCTTTCCAGAAGAAATATGGCTAGTTCCTTCTTACTTCAGCTTGCAATTATTACCTGAGCTGCTCCCAGAACCACCTACCCAGCTACTTCCTTGGACTTCTCTGAGGTAATTTTCTGACAAAATATTTGCCCATTTATTATCACTTATTCTTCAATTCAGTCTCCCAAGCCAGGGTCACTCACTTCCTCCATTGATACATCTTGTGGGCAATTCCATCCCCATCTTTCCACACTGTTATCACCTTACATAGTACATTCTCTCTAACTCATCTCTAAGACTATAGTTTCATTATAATTACTGGTCAGCTTTTCACAGCTCCTCAAATTAATCTATGGATTCAATGAAATTCCAATGAAAATAGCAGTAGGCTTTTTTTTGGTAGAAGCTGACAAAGTGATTCTAAAATTAAAGAACCTAGAATAACCAAAACAACTCTGAAAAAAGATGAACAAAGTCAGAGGACTAACACTACTGATATCAAGACTTAAAGCTACAATATTCAAGACAGTGTGATATTGATGTAAGGACAAATAGATCAGTGAAACAGAACAGAAAGCCTGTAAACCGACACACACATATAGAGACAACAAATTTTCAACAAAGGTAAAAAGCACTTCAGTGGAGAAAAAAGAGTCTGTTCAAAACCTGGTGTTGGAATAGATATTTATATATAAAAACATGAACTTTGATACATACTTCATCCCAAATACAAAAATTAACTGAAAATTGATCATAGACCTAAGTGTAAAATCTAAAACCATAAAACTTCTGGAAGAATACATAGGAGAAAACCTTTGTGAACTTGAATTAGGCAAAGATGGCTTAGATAACACACCAAGAGCACTTAAAGAACAAATCGATAAATTAGACTTTATCAAAATTTAAAGCTTTTGCTCTTCAATAGCTGCTGTAAAGAGAATAAAAACACAAGCCATGGCTGGGAGAAAACATTTATAGATCATGGATAGAAGGTTTATTTATAATGGCCCCAAACTATAACTAACCCAAAGGTCCATCAACAAATGAATAAACTGCGACATAGCTCTTCAATAGGATATTACTTAGCAATAAAAAGCAATGAATTATTAACATATGCTGCAACATGTATGAATCTCAAAATCATTATGCTAACTGAAAGAAGGCAGACCCCTTCCCCCAAAAAGAGAGATCATTCCATTTATATAAAATTTTAGAAAATGCAAATCATCTTTAGGGCTGAAAGTATTGGCAACCACCTTACTGAGGATGTGGGGGTGAGGGGAGCAATTAGGAAGGGGAAGAAGGAAACCTCTGGGGGAGTGGACATTTCCTTCTCTTGAGTGTGATGGTGGTTTCACAGGCATGTACACATGTCCAAAATGTATTAAGTTGTACACTTTAAATTATGTGCATTTTATTGTATGCCAATATGTCTCAATAAAGCTTTTAAAAGAAAGAAAGAAATACAATGCTAGCTATTGGGGAAAGCCTTAACTGCGAGACAATGTAGGCTTATTCTACTCTGGGGACGGCTGAAATCAGTTCATGCTACAAGGGATTCCATGAGAGGAAGAAGTTCTGGAGTTTTAGTCTTGTTTTAGATTCTGCTGTGGGTTAATACAAACTGAATCCACAATCCTTTGGTCTGTTAACATATTACAGCCTGGGAGATATTAAATAGATGCAGTGTGTGTTGGCAGGGAAAGACTAGATAGACTCCAATGAAGTACCAATTTGAACTATTTTTGCTTTAATTCTTCTTTTAAGCATTTCTCCAGACAACCACCACCATTACCATCCCTACTGTGGCCTTAAAGATATGCCTGGCCAACATCTTTCAGGAAAAAAAAAATTTAGACTAAAGCTAAGTGGCCTGAATTCTCAAATATAGTAAGTAATATGCTTTTAACTAGATGTGTGAGGACAACATTTTCCCTGTGATTCTATCAGAATCTGTTGCATTTACATACAAATTGGTAATACCTTAGAATTCCACCTAAAAAAGCCACCATGGTTCCCCTAAGATATGAAACCTGTGTAGTGATCGATTAATTCATTGCAGCGTATGATATCAAATGCATTTTAAAAATATACTCCATTGCTTCCAAGTACTTCTTGAATCCACAAGGACTGGTCTTAGCATTTAAACTAATTTACCCTAGACATAAAAAAAAAAAAACCTTCTGCTTATTCTCCCAGATAATTGATTCTTGGTTTGTTAAGATACTAAACTCTATGCTTTATACCCTAAAATACAAAACCCCTGGTGCCCCATGCAAAGCAAATACTGATGTTTACTGCCTTGGCAGAGAGGGCAAGGGGAGCTGAGAAGTGGAGAACTCTCCCACCCTCTGTCCGGCTGTTAGCCCAGCGGGAAGGTCCCACTGCCCGTGGAGTAACCATTACCACCTGTCCCATAGCAGCTACACGTGCAAGTCACACAGCAGTAGCTTCTCAAAGTAAATGCTCTCCTCAGTTTCCTAAAAGTAAATCATAAAGATAACCTCTGCCTCAAAGCTGCCCTTTCTCTAAGTAAAACCACATACATGCCACCTCCACCACCACCACCAATAGAAACCCCACCTGGAAAATCAGAGCTTAGGAAGAGTTAGGCCTTGGTGCTAATGTCACCAGAAGGTTAATCCCATTCAAATCTATGATGTATCAAAAGTTTAAAATGACTTTTTTTCCACAAAATAAAGAACACATAGTATATGCAAAATTAACATTTTCTAAGAAACGACATCTTCACATAAGCACCTACAAAACATATAAGTGTTTCTGGAAAGATTACATTTCTACAATATAGGCCTTTTAAAAACCTTCCCTCAATAGCATGTTTGAATTTATTATTAGAAATTTCATTCTAAAAGTACATTAAAATGTATCTGTCCATGCTAGGTCAAATTCATGCCACCCATTTCCACAAGCAAATCAAACATTACTGACTATAGTCAATAAAACCTTTTCACCCCATATAAATGTGTTCACAGAACTATCTGCACAGAATCTCCCCCTGGTGCCGGCCACAAGTGATCTGGGTGAGGCATGCGGTGAAGCAGAGTTCAGAGGGCCACTGGCAAGAGAAGGGAGGCGTTACTGGCATGTTCCATAGGCATGTCTCAAGTTCCAACACAGAAGCACGGGAAAGTCTTCAACCTCATCCTGGGAGAGGTGACTTTATAAAACAACATGGTAAAAGACAATGCATGTGTGCTCAGATGAAAGAAAAGACCCACCAAAATTCTCAGAGGGAGGGGTCACTATCACAAAAGCAAAGAAAGAAATGCTAAAATACATCTTTTCCCCTCTAGCACCTTAGGTCTGACAGTCCGC